AGCCCTCTGGACAACAGTTTTTGGTAATCCCGCACCTCCTCCTAACTTCCAAACTACAATTCTCTGCATTATATTTACACCACACATTGCCCTCAGACATGACATCTCCCTGCCTCCACCTTCCCCGCTGCAACATTTAACGTTACACCCTTTTAAACTTTTTTGGTAAAAACTATACCTCATCACCCCCTTTTTGTCCAAGGGACAATTCTTTCTCCACAGTCCTAAGTGCCCCAATTTTTTCCCTCATCATTCTTGATTCCCCTCTTTTTTCTTTTAGACCCTGTAAAAAAGTATCCCAAATATCAAAATATTTTACCCCCCTTATTTTAATTTAAAAAATTTAATTTTCACACCTAATTTTTGTTATTCAAAATTATTTTTGTATTCATTTAATTTTCCTTTGCACCCCCAAAATTAAAAACCAATTTGGTAAAAAAAATTTAAAGGGCAGGAAAGAACAATAAATAATGGTAATGCTTGAATAAATGATAGTAAGATGGTAGACGGTACAAAGGATAAAAAAAAGGTTTGGGATTTTGAATATGCAAATTAAATTTTTGGAAACCCCAAAAATTTTAGGGGAAGTATAAAATTGTTTAATGTAAAAAGTAAAAATTGATGGTGTAAATAGGGTTTTTAAAAAAATTTTAGTAAGTAATAATGATTACAAAAAAAGTGAAAAAGTAATGTTTATTTCATTCATATTGCACTGGTAGTTATACTTGGGTTATAGGGCAGTACAAGGTAATTTAAGAGTACTCTAAGTAGTAAATGGGTAAAACAGGTAAAGGAAATTAGACAAGAAGGTTATTAAATGTAAAAAAATGTTAAGGTAAATTAAAATTATAGTAAAATAAAAATTTTTAAATTTTAGTAGGTAATATCTTGATAGTAAAAAAAAAATAGGTAGAAATTGGACAGAGAAAGAAAATTCAGAAATGTTTAAGCAAACAATATAAAAAAAGAAAATTACAAAAGGGTGACTTTTGCTTATTTTTAAAAACACAAAAAGAGGTAGTTGATTATTTTAAAAACAAAAAAAATTGTACAATGAAATTTGAACAATAATGGGGCAAAACTAAAATCACTACATAGCTTTTAAAATTGGGGCATTTTTTGTTATTTCTGTAAGATTGTATCCTGAAATCGTGATGCATTCTCGTTCGTGATTGGTACAGTTGACCTACATTTGTTTTTCCCAACAAAATTTTCCCTTCCCCTGGAAGCATTGTGTATTGTTCGTTTTTCTCCCCCCTTAAGTTTTCTGACTCATACAGGGGTTCTGAGTTTTTTGGAAAGAACTCGTTTATGTATACCTTTTTTTACTTTTTAGTGCAATAATAAGTCTTTTTTCCGTCTGTGAGTGGAATCTAAGCATAACACTTTTTTTACCAGGGATCCTAGAACCTGGTTCTTTTTTTCAACTTGGACAATAAAACTTGTTTTGGGCCTTTATGATTGCAGAGTAATTTCTTTCTGTTTTTTTGGTTCTATCACTGGGGGAAAAAGGACTGTTTCTATTCTGTGTCCTTGTTTATTTGTTCATTTTATCTTTTTGGAGACAAAGTAGTCGTAAGGTTATCTAAGTTTTCTTCCATTCTTTTACTGCTTCTTCAACCCTTTTTATTAAGAGATATTTTTTGTTGGGTATGGGTTTCATGCTGTTTGGGTGGTCTTGCCACAGTTGTCATTCCTGGTGTTTATAACTTTTGTTTTAAAACTGAGGATTTTGTTCTGGTTGTGTATCCTGGTTTTCTTGTTTTTTTTAGCGTCTCCGAAAATTAAATTTTCAAAACTAAGTTGGGATGTAGACTTTAGGATCGGATCGTGGTCAAAACCGAGAGATATTGGTAGGTTGAATCCGGGGGAAAAGGGGAAGAAGGGGGGGGTGGGAGCCATGTTTGTTGTTATTTTGTGGGTGCCTTAGTGGTGGTGAGTGGGGTGGGGTTTCGGGCCGGCGTCCTCCTGACTACACTTGTTGAATAGTGATTTTTCGGCGTTTTCTTGCTGGCCTTTGGGCTGTTTCCTCTTGATTTGGCCCCCTAAATCAGGGAATTGTTGTATTAAGAAGAAGTAGTTAACCAAAGTTTGGTTCGTTTAGGCAAAAATACTCAGAATGCTGAATGTATTTTCCATGATTATAGAAAAAACTCTATTTTTTTAAATTTAATTCCCAAAGATTTTGTGAAATAGTGTCATTATTTTGTTTTCATTTCCCATTTTCACTATGCCATTCCATAAAAATTTAGTAGAAAAAAAACACTGTCTATCCATATCAATACATTCCCTTTACATTGTTTTTAGCACATTATCAAAATTTATCTTTATTTAGGTATATGAAACAGTATGGACGGAGTGCGGGGAAAAAGGTGGACCATTGTTGGGGGGAGTAGAACGGCAGGGGGCACTTTCCCGGGTACACCCCACCCTGCCCATCCAGGCCCCCAAGCCATATCATTGAAAAATCCCACTGCCAGATTGCTGAAAGGGAGAAAAGACTATTTAAAAACCTTTAGGGTCCGTCCCCTGTCAATGCTTTACGTTCAGGGTCCAAACCGTAGTTTACCATGAGCTCACTCATCTGTAAATGTGATGGGGAAATTTTGGGGCCCAATAGAGAGAAAAAACTATGTGGTATGTGTGCACCACATAAAACAAATCCGCAGACACTGTGTATAATGAGAGAAAAAAAACTGAGACCATGATTTTCGATTAAAACAGCGACTTAGCAGTGTTTTTTCGTATGTTTTTTATAGTTGTATTTGTGATTTCTTGATCTCATTTGATAGAATGGAAGACATATTACAGAAATATAGATAATTTTGATTGGTGTTAGCACTGGAAATGGCTTGAAATTGAGCTCAAAGTGGCGGAAATGTTAAATTTTTGCCGATGTTCAAGAGTAAACAAACGACCTCACACATCTAATACACGCCAGCTGGTGGGTCTAATATACATTCACAAATATGGTGATGATATTTATACAATTATTACAATATTGCATAACAGTAAATCTTCTATTTTTTGGTGTGAATAAAAATTCATTATGTGAATAAAAAATCAGAATGGAATTTATTTGTAAAGCCTCAAAACATAACTAATGAACAGAGGAAATGTTAGTTTAGTGCCAGGAATATCTACATTGTTTATTCTGGACCCTATTTTGAAATTGGAATATTTTGAACTTTGTGTTAAATTGGCCAAATTACCAATTTCCGGTCACTTTATTTTGTAGTTGAAACAGTTGACTTGGCGATTTCTTGTGCTCAATCGATAGAATAGAAGTAATACTAGTGAAATAGCTGAGAATTTGGTCGACTGGAATAATGTAATTTGCCTAAAATGGGAGTCGAAGTCGGCAAAATCGCCGATTCGTAAATATCACTGACACATCAAAATTCACGAGAGCATAATTTCGTCAATTTTCCATCAAATTTCGTACTTTTTGTTTTATTACATTCACAAAAAGATTCTCTACCATTTCATAAGAAAAAATAAATTTTTTTTTTTTTGAAAATTCTTGGACACTGGGGCACCACTTCAGATTTTGGCCTTGGACCCTGAAAGGGTTAATATATAGTTATAACACAACATAGTTTACACTTATTGCTTAGTAATTTTTTAATGTAAAGTTCTTTATTAACTGTTATGTAATAATTATGTCATCATACCATAGCTGGAAAAATTTACAACAGATACACAAATTGGGAATGAAAACTGGATATTTCCATCCATCCTGGATCATTATCAAATTGCAAGTGCTGTTAGTCCACAAGTTTACAATACTCTACAGATAATTCTGGATGGACCAAAATGCCATTTAGCTTTTCAATTTTTTTGTTATTAATGGCTGTGTTAGTGCAGTTGTTTTATATACTGTATATATATTTTAATCAGTGTTGCAAATATTTAGCTTGTGGGTGATTTCAACTCATGAAAAATATAGCAAGCAAAACTTCTAGAACAATAAAGAGAAAATTACGTACTTTATTTTGTGAATTAAATAATAAATACTGAGCTTAACAAATTAATTCCCACTGAAGATTCAGTAGTCCATTTACTTAGGCTTCATGTTTAAAAGTACCTATAAATGTTATGATAGCCAGGAAAATTATAGGGTAGATAATGAGAACCTTCAAAACAAGGGAAATAGTGCCAGTGGTGACACTATTCACATTGCTTGTGCCCTTTCATTTAGTGTATTGTTCAGTGCTGACAGCCCCATTCAGGGAAGGGAAGATATGAGAACCTGAACAGATTGAGATCATTTACAGCCTGCATAGAACCAGTGCACTCATTGGTGCAGGGGAGAGCGAGATATATGGTAATGTGTGTGTGGAAAGTATTGGAGGGCCTTGTCCTAGATATGCACACTGCCATAACGACATACTGGAGTGAAAGATATAGGGAGAAAGTGTTAAATAAACCCATTGAAATATAGGACCACCATGGGCACAGTAAGAGAACATTGTATCAATATCCATGGTTGCAGACTATTCAACATCTTACCAGAAGATATCAGAAACAGTGCTAGGACAAGTCTTTAAGAGGAAACTGATCAACCAAGTTGTGATAGATATGTGGGCCAGCAACAGTCTGGTTGACCAGGCATGCACCAAACAAACCTGGCCCAGGGCTGGGTTGAGAATAGAAAAACTTGAACCTCATCAAAGATAAAGGTATCATTCTATTAAGTATACAGTGGTACCCCGAGTTTCATACAGTTCCTAGCTCGAACAGTTTTGTAAGTGTATTATTGTAAGTGCTTTTGTAAGTGTATTTTTGGGGATCTGAAACAGACTAATCTAATTTACATTATTTTTTATGGGAATAAATTCGTTCAGTAACGGCACTCGAACAGCCTTCTGGAACGAATTATGGCCGAAACTCTGGGTACCACTGTACTTTACTGTTGCTGTTTCATCTACAGTAATGAAGTATATATAGTTCAATTTTAGATTTGTACTTCAATAATTTCTTAACTTTTGTTTTGGCAGATGTGGTGCACTTGCTGTCAATGATATTGTAGCAGCTATAGATGGGACAAGACTTGACCAGTTAACAGTTGCTGAAGCTGCTCAATTGCTGAAGACTGCACCAGGTTCACATGTCACATTAGAAATCATACCAGGAGCTGCTGCACAACCCAGGATGACTTTTCGAAGAGGTAAATTCTTCAAGTACTTTGTCCCCTTATTACAGTTACCCTGCAGGGTGTGGAGAACATCCTGTAAACCTGTTTAACCCTTTACTGCTTCACAAAGTCATGCTAAGATAGCATTATATTTTTTTCAGAGAGAGAGAGAGAGAGAGAGAAAGACTGCCTAGCTAGTGCTTAACATATCTGGCTTAACCCTTACCTTTAAGTTAGGGCATAGAAGATATATAAGAATTTCTGCAGTTAAATGTAATGCTGAGGTTATAGTTTTTACCTATTTTATATACATGACTAGACTGGTAGAAAAAGTATATACAGTATGTATCACAGGTTATAAACACATTCATGCCTACCCAGAACATCCAGGGAGAATTAAGAACAAATACCTAACTGGTATTCCTAGATAAATAAAAGGACTCCCTATGTTAAAAAAAAAAAAAAAAAAAAAAAAAAAAGAGCACTTGCGAGGTCATGCCACTCATTAATGACATCCCATGAGAGGCTTAAGGAGGGCTGCTGCAATGAATCGGTAGTATACACACACTGCCTCTTCTGCAGTCCACATTAACTTGGAGATTAAATTCTATAACCATTTCATAAAATTAAGTTATGCTAAGTATTACACAGTTGCACAGTTTTATCCAGTTATTTTCGACTCAAATGTCCACTAACTCAATCTGTATGAAATATATTAATACTCGAGATGCAGTGACTCACAGTAATCACAACTGCTAGGCTGAAGCTAACATTCAAGATAAGATGGTCCACTCCTTGCTGGAAACTGATAATGACAAAATAATGGTACAAGTATGTTCAGTATCTTAAGGAAATGAATGCATACTCTCATATTATTTCTTTCTTTCCCGAGAGGAAGAGAGAAAGGTTACTGGGTGCTTGTAACACCCTTCAAGGAAGGTTCCTTGATGCTGGTAGGGGGCTCTTGATTGAAGGAATTGTTACTGCTTTCCCCTTCCTTGAATCAAACCTGATTAACTCCCATTCCTCAGGCAGTACAACCCATACAGGCTTTTAGTGCTTTTCCATGGATACAATTTGGGTAGATTCAAGATTATAAAACTATACTACAATAAATTATACAGTACAGTATCATAAATTAGCATTCATATCTTCTTTCAGCAAACCAGCTCTGTCTCACCAAAGCAGGGTGGCTTAAAAAGAAAAATTAAAGTTTGTCTTTTTAAATTTAGTATCATATGCAGAAGATTAGATTTTGCCACCGAAGTGGCTAGTTTATTGTGCACCCCATATCCATCCTGTGGACGGTAGTGCAAGAGCATATGGATACACAAAAGGCCTAGGAACTAGGCCCCAAAAGGGTTAACAGGTGTACATATGGGTTTATATCTACAGATCTACAAGTCACTTATCTGTTATAAGCAAATTTAAGAAATTTGCTTAGTATATCTGGTATCTTATTTTCATTAATAAGATATCTTGACATGTCACATAGGTTATTATACTGTCTGTCTCTGTATTCCTCAATAAGTGGACAATTAAGCACATAGTGTTCAAGACAGTGACCATATGCCTGATCACATAATTTGCATTTAGTTTGATCATCATCTGTGTCATAATTGTACTTGTAACCAAGCCTAAGCCTGGCCACTACAACATCAGTCAGTCTGTTCACATTGCACGTTGCTCCATAAACATACTTATCTACGTTCATGTTATCATAGTGGGTTATAGATCTACTCAGCCTTCTAACTGCATTCCTGTAACAATCATTTTCGTTATTTACTTCTCTCCTAATATTATTCCTAATGATAGACACAGATATACCAAAGTTATATTCTACATTCTCCTTCTGGGTACTCTTCTTGGCTAACATATCAACTTTATCATGAAGGAGTAATCCAATGTGTGATGGGACCCATAGCAATTGTACATTAATCCCTTTGTCCATGATTTTTGAGTATCTATACCTGGCTTCTCCAATGAGCATGTTGTTGGAGTCATTATATGAGACAAGAGCCTTCAATGATGACATAGAATCAGTAATGATGATAGTCAAGCTCATATACAGAAGAAGGGGTTTAAGCCTTTGTTTTGGTTGTATATATGCGTCTTATGAGCCACCATTTTTGACGTATATATACTCATAAATTCTAGCGGCTTCAAATCAAGCAGGAGAAAGCTGGTAGGCCCACCTGTAACAGAATGGGTCTGTGTGGTCAGTGTGCTCCATATAAAAAAATCCTGCAGCACGCATTGCATAATGAGAAAAAAAAAACTCCGACCGTTTTTTTTTTAATTAAAATGCCAACTTTGTGGTCTATTTTCGTATAGTATTTATGGTTGTATTCTCGTTTTCTTGGTCTCATTTGATACAAAGAATGGAAAATATGTTATAGAAATAGAGGTCATTTTGATTGGTTTTTGCTAGGAAAAGAACCTTAAAATGGAGCTCAAATTTGGGGAAATGTTTATTTTTGCCGATGTTCAGAAGTAAACAAATGACGTCATTTTCCAATAAATGTCCAAGTAGTCATTCTAATATGCAGTCATGAATGGGTTGACATTATTTATACAATTATTACAATATTGCAGTAGTCTGCATAACAGTAAATCTTCTATTTTTTGTTTGAATAAAAATTCAAAATAGAAAGCAAGAGTAATATCAGAGGGGCCTGGAGATGTGACTGATGAACAAAGAAAATGTTGTTTTAGAGCCAGGAATGTCTGCATTGTTCATTCTGGACCCTATTTTGAAATTGTCATTTTTTTAATTTTCGTGAAATTGGCCAAATTGCAAATTTCTGACCACATTATTGGGTAGTTGAAATCGGTAAATGAGCAGTTTCTTGTACTCAATCGATAGAAAAAATGGAGTTCTAAAGAAATAGCTATGAGTCTGGTCGACTGGAACAATGGAATTAACCGAAAATAGGGCTCAAAGTGGGCGAAATTGCTGATTCGTAAATACGCCAAGGTCGCTAACTTCGCGAGAGCATAATTCCATCAGTTTTCCATCAAATTTCGTTCTTTTGGTTTCATTACAATTGGGAAAAGATTCTCTATCATTTCATAAGAAAAATAATTTTTTTTTTTAATTTTGCGACACCAGGAGACACCTCAGGATTTGGGGTTGCAACAGTCTAGGGGTTAAATTAGCTTTAATATCAACAGTAATTATTTTCTTGTTTCAGGAGGTGGTGTATCATTCCCACATTTGTATGGTGTTGTTGGCAGCAGTAGTGGGTATGGAAGTGGTGGTGGAGGTGGATATTTATCACCAAGTTCTAGTTACAATACTCTTAGCTCACAGCGGCCGCGTTCAGCTGCTGCTAGAAGAGTTAACAGACGAACTAGACCCAATGATCGAGCAGAGACAGGTAGTGTTTAACGATCGTTAGTGCTTGACTTTTCATATTAGGTCTCCTTCAGTTTTGCATTACAGTATACATGTATTACAGTAGTTTATACAGCTTTTTTTCCCTTTCTTTTGTGTTTCAATATTCATTTTTTATTTCACTTCATGCTACACTATTTCTGTTTGCTTGATTTCTTTGAAGTTGTTTACTTAAATATTGTTCCTTCTGAACACTGATATTTGCTTCAGTTTTGAATATGTACTACTAAATGCCTGTAATTTATATTTTGACATTCACTAATTCTTTCTTTAGTGCATTAACCCTTAAACTGTCCAAACGTAGATCTACATTTGCGCGCATAGCGCTATAAACCTTGATTTTCTCCGTAAGAAAGAATGTAAAAAAAACGTAGATCTACGTTCGGAGCGCTTCACGAGCGAACGTAGATCTACGTTTGGACAGTTTAAGGGATAACCCTTTGACCGTTTTGGTCGTATATATACGTCTTACGAGCCACTGTGTTTGACGTATATATACTCATAAATTCTAGCGGCATCAAATCAAGCAGGAGAAAGCTGGTAGGCCCACATGTGAAAGAATGGGTCTTTGTGGTCAGTGTGCACCATATAAAAAAATCCTGCAGCACGCAGTACATAATGAGAAAAAAAACTCCGTTGTTTTTTTTAATTAAAATGCCGACTTTGTGGTCTATTTTCGTATAGTATTTATGGTTGTATTCTCATTTTCTTGGTCTCACTTGATAAAATGGAATTATTACAATATAGAATGAATTATTACAATATAGAATGAATTATTACAATATTGCAGTAGTCTGCATAACAGTAAATCTTGTATTTTTTGTTTGAATAAAAATTCAAAATAGAAAGCAAGAGTAATATCAGAGGGGCCTGGAGATGTGACTGAGGACAAAGAAAATGTTATTTTAGAGCCAGGAATGTCTGCATTGTTCATTCTGGACCCTATTTTGAAACTGTCATATTTTTTAATATTCGTGAAATTGGCCAAATTGCAAATTTCTGACCATGTTATTGGGTAGATGAAATTGGTAAATGGGCAGTTTCTTGTACTCAAATGATAGAAAAAATGAGTTATAAAGAAATGGCTATGAGTTTGGTTGACTGGAACAATGGAATTAGCCGAAAATAGGGCTCAAATTGGGCGAAATCGCCGATTCGTAAATATCGCCGAGCTCGCTAACTTCGCGAGAGTATAATTCCATCAGTTTTCCATCAAATTTCGCTCTTTTGGTGTCATTACAATTGGGAAAAGATTCTCTATCATTTCATAAGAAAAAATATTTGTTTTTTTTTGTTTGGAAATTTTGCACCACCAGGAGACACCTCAGGATTTGGGGTTGCAACAGTCAAGGGGTTAAAGCTTTTATATTTTTATCATGTTAGTGATTAAGGTTTAACTGTAAATGATAATCTGATTTTGTTATATTTGTGGAAGCGCCAAATTAGTGAGGGTCGTTCAGTGCTGCACACAAGTAAGGTGGACATTTTGGAGAACATGTAGCCTGCACCCCTCCCACCACCTCTCTTCCCTTTTCTCATTAGCAAATTGATTCTTGCAGCCATCAGCACCTATCTTATCTATTTTTTTTATCATTACAATGGGCACCTGCTTAAAGACCTAGACAGGATACAGAAGGAATGAGTCATTAAGCAAAAAATGTGTTGAGTGAATTACATCTTCCCAAAGAAGACTTTTATAACTTAACATGGGAACTTGGAAAATGATCTTCATATCTAATTTGTATTAATTTTTTAATCATGAAATTTAAAAAAAAAACATGCACTCTCCTTACATGGGTCCATTGTTTAGTAAAGGCACAGTGTTATGTACTTTTTGTGTTACTACAAAAAAAAACATGAAAAATTATACAGGGTCTCATCAAGTCTGTGAAATTGGCACTATTTTAATCTGATACTCCATTAAACATACATGTTGAGCCTTTGGCCAGATTTTTTTTTCTCTGTTTTAACTACTATGTGCTTTATCGAGGTCCATTTCATTGAAATTTTACTGGGCCATTATTGTATGTAATTTAATGCCAATTTGTATGCACTACTGCTATGTTGCACTTGCTACAGGATCTATTTCATCACACACCACTGGAGGAGGAAGTGTAGGGAGGGTTGGCGTGTGTCATCCAGAGTGTCTCACAGTAACACTGGTGGTAGAAGGTCGTGGTTATGGACTGGTACTTCGCCCACCCCCACACCCAGCAGACCCTGACACAGCCTTGCCTGTTATTGCTGCCATTGACCCAGGAGGCCCAGCTGACAAGTTGGTTCCAGTTTGCTAGTGGCACTGACGTGAAATATTTACAAAATATTAGACTGCATTTTTTAGTAGAACTATACACTTACATTATCTAATGCTGTGTATTTGCAACTACTATACAGTATGTCATATGGTCAAAAGTAAATTTGATTAAATTGAAAACAATCTTTAATATGCAGTGCAATATGTTTTAAAGCAGAAGCATTCGAAAGCTATATCTATAATTTTAAGGATGTAAATTTTGCATACTTCTGTATTTTATGCATTATCTGATTTTCCTAAATTTGTTAATTAAATATATACTTATGGTTTTTCTTAACAGATGTAGTGTTGTAAGTGTAGGTGACCGCCTAATGGGGGTGAATGGCCGCAGTGTGTCAGGTCTTGGTGTAAGTGAAGTCACACAGATGGTAGCTAACTCTCGTCCAACAGTCACACTCGACGTTGAATTTGATGTTGCTGACTCAGTTGTGCCTTCATCTGGCACATTTGCAGTCAAGTTAGCCAAAAGACACAATGGGCTTGGTATTACTTTGACAGGTAGGTGCACTCCTTTATCTTTTAGAACATAACTGGAAATGTTTTATCTTGTGAATATTTTATGCAAATTTGGTAACTTAATTATTCAGTATTAACCCTTTCAGGGTCTGTGACATAGATCTGCGGCTTTACATTGAGCGTCCAAACCATAGATCTACGTCATGAGCTCAGCTCACTCTGATAAGCTGTGAGCGGTAAATTTGGGCCTAGATATGAGAAAATACATCTATGTGGTATGTGGACACCACATAAAACAAATCCTGGAGCACACAGTGCATAATGAGAGAAAAAACTGAGACCGTAATTTTCGATTAAAACTGATTTTGCAGTGTTTTTTCGTATTATTTTTATAGTTGTATTTGCAATTTCTCAGTCTCATTTGATAGAATGGAAGATACATTACAGAAATAGAACTGATTTTGATTGGTTTTACTACTGAAAATTGCTTGAAAGTGAGCTCAAAGTAGCGGGAATGTTAAATTTTTGCCGATGTTCAAGAGTAAACAAATGACCTCACACATCTAATACATGTCAGCTGGTGGGTCTAATATACATTCACAAATGCGCTGATATTATTTATACAGTTGTTAGAATATTGCATAACAGTACATCTTCTATTTTTTGGTTTGAATAAAAATTCATTATGTGAATAAAAAATCAAAATGGAATTCATTTGTAAAGCCTGAAAATGTAACTAATGAACAGAGGAAATGTTAGTTTAGTGTCAGGAATGCCTACATTGTTTATTCTGGACCCTATTTTGAAATTGGAATATTTTGAACATTGCATTAAATTGGCCAAATTACCAATTTCCAATCACTTTATTTTGTAGTTGAAGCAGTTGACTTGGTGATTTCTTGTGCTCAGTCAATAGAATAGAAGTAATACTAGTGAAATAGCTAAGAATTTGGTCAACTGGAATAATGTAATTGGCCTAAAATGAGAGTCAAAGTCGGCAAAATCGTCAATGCGTAAATATCGTTGACACATCAAAATTCGCGAGAGCAAAATTTCGTCAGTTTTCCACCAAATTTCATACTTTTTGTTTTATTACCTTCAGAAAAAGATTCTCTACCATTTCATAAGAAAAAATAACAAAATTATTTTTTGAAAATTCTTGGACACTGGTGCACACTTTGAAATTTGGCCTCTGGATCCTGAAAGGGTTAATGTATTATACAGTATATCACTGGTGTACCAATAAATATTAGATTGGGTAATGTAAAATTGGCACCTAGAGGTCCCATGGACATATTATTATACAGTATTTAGTGGCAGGACCTGTAATTGTTTTACATGATAGTAAGATTGCTGGTGTCTTTTTTCTGTCTCATAAACGTGCAAGATTTCAGGTACATATTGCTACTTCTTCTTACACTTAGGTCACTCTATACATGCATGTACAAACATATACATACACACACCCCTCTGGATATTTTTCTATTTTATTACTAGTTCTTGCTCTTGTTTATTTCCTCTTACCTCTGTGGGAAAGTAGAACAGAATTCTTCCTCCGTAAACCATGCGTGTCATAAGAGGCGACTGAAATGCTGGGAGCAAGGGCCTAGCAACCCCTTTTCATGTATACATTACTAAATTTAAAAAAAAAAAACTTTTGTTTTTCTTTTTAGGTCACCCTGCCTCAGTAGGATATGGCCAGTTCATTGAAAAAAAAAAGTATATCTTTGCTATTTCTACTTACACTTAAGTCACACTACACATGCATGTACACGCATATACAGTGGTACCTCAGTATACATCCTTAATCCATTCCAGGACCTTGGACTTTTACCAAACAGGACATATACCAAACGAATTTTCCCATAAGAAATATAGGGAAAACAATTAATCCATTCCCATGAAAAAAAATCCTATTATTATTGGCATATTATACATTGATGGAGTTGTATAAAATAATTTAAACACTGCTTAATACTAAAATACATACATAAATACAAAAGAATTAGATAAAATAAATGCAAATTTAACCTCACTTTACTTTGTTGAAAAGAGTCGAGTGCCTGCTAGGATAGTGCTGAGAAGGGAGGAGGAGGAAATGTTATTGTTTGGAAGGAGAGTCCCCTTCTCTTTTCTGTCTCTTTTCCCTATTTGGATCTCGTTAAAGCTCACCAGGTTTGACTTTTACTAAAAATCTGTGCAAAGAACTGTGCCTCTGCCTTCTCCTCAGGATGTTTTAGAAATGTGACATTGTCTGGTCATTCCAGACAATGCTGTTATGGCTTGTTTGGCCTTTGTTGGGGTGGTACTTCTCTGCAAAGGTTTTGACGTCTATCCATTTGGCAAAGATTTCCTTGATTAATGAAGTAGGGGCTTCCTCTGTATCCTCTTCTGAGCCTAGAGAGTGCATCTATCTTAGTCTTGTGCTCCTCCTCAAGTTCCTGCAGCTCCTCAGTGGTCAGCTCTTCCCTGTGCCCCTCCACATCACCATCACTCACATCCAGATGCATGGACCTGCCCAGAGAGACAATATCCTCCACTATAGACACAGCCTCAGAGCCCTCAAAGTCCCTTTCAGCCACTGCTTCTGGCCACAAATTCCTCCATGCAGAGTTCATTGTTCTTTATGAAACTTCCTGTCAGGCTTTGTCAATGAGAGTTATGCAATGGGCGATAGTAAAGTGATCTTTCCAAAACTCTCTCTGGGTTAACTTTGTGTCAGCGGTCACTTCAAAACACCTCTGGAATAGTGCTTTAGTGTGGAGTTTCTTGAAATTACTGATGACCTGCTGATCCATGGGCTAAATGAGAGGAGTAGTGTTAGGGGGAAGAAACTTTATAGTGATGAAGTCAAACTCTAGCAGCACACAGTCCTGCAAGCTTGGAGGATGAGCTGGAGCATTGTCCATTATGAGGAGGGCCTTCAGAGGCAGGTTTTTCTCCTCTAAATAACTTTTTACACTGCCCAGACACAACATTAAACCATTTGCTGAAATATTCTCTGGTTACCCAGGCCTTGCTGTTTGACCTCCATATCACAGGTAACTGAGTTTTCTAGCACGCGAGTCTTATTCCAAACAAAGGTCGTATACCAAGCAAAAATTTTCACGTCCAAACAGGACGTATACCAAGTTGGACTTATTCCAGAGCAGATGTATACTAAGGTACCACTGTATATATTTACACACCCATCTGGGTTTTCTTCTAATTTCTTAATAGTTCTTGTTCTTCTTTATTTCCATTTATCTCCTTGGAGAAGTGCAAAAGAATTCTTCCTTCATAAGTTGTGTGTGTTGTAAGAGGCAACTAAAATGACAGGAGCAAGGGCCTAGTAACCCCTTCTTCTACCTTGATGGAATACAGCTGGTTTGTTGAAAAAAACAAAAAGAAATTAGTGGGAAACAGAACACTTGTAAGATCGTACAATGCCCAGGGAAATAGGAAGCAGTCAGGCTTGATCCAGGGAATGAGAGGACAAGGGTTGGACCAAGAACCCCTCATCAGCATCAAGCAATCTCCTAAGGGGGTTCCAAAGACACGGAATCCATGAATAATGCAAAATGTGTCTGCATTACAAATTCTGTTTATGACTGGTCTCATTTTGTTTCAAAGGCCATACAACTTTTAATATTGGTCTAATTTAATATTAACATTCATTAGAAAGAATGACTAGAAAAAACTTGGGCATTGAAAAGCCATTGAGCACAGATTGAACAAAATCCCATGGTTAGTTTTTAATTTAGGGGTTGTGGCACCACACCAAGAAAAGGAGACTGTGGAGACTGGCACTACAAATAACCATATTTATTCATGAAATGCCCATTAGTAATTGGCTTTCTTCCATAGTTTGATAAGTATAAAACACAGAAATGGTTTAAATTTCTCGACAATAGCCAGAGAAGTGTTCTTAGTGTTGACTGAAGTGCTTTGTAAAGGGAATATTGAATGTTATCATAATTGGGGTGTTATTGTATTCAGTACAGTGGAACTTCGGCTTACGAATGCCCCACCATGTGAACTTTTCAGGATACGAACCATCGTTCAGTCGATTTTTTGCTTCTGGATACAAACGAAATTTCAGGATGCGTATTTCCCCCTCATGGGAGGTTCCCTAAATAAATAAATAAATAATTTATTTATTTATTTGGTTACAATGTGTGTTTACATATCATAATATGATTGGAGCAAAGAGAGCCACTATCATGCTGAGGCATTTCGGGCATACTTAACCTAATACAGTGTACTTATAGACTACTTAAGTCTAGACAGGTAAAAAGTAGTGGTTACCAATGTTTTGCTGATGGTGGCACCAACTACTGGCAGCCTTTGGAAGTTTCTCCTTACTGTTAGTATTAGTATTATTATTATATTGTATTATTATTATTATTATATTGTATTATTATTATTATTATATTGTATTATTATTATTATTATTATATTGTATTATTATTAGTAGTAGTACATACGTGGTGAGGGGCTCTTGATCTAGGGAATTGGATCTGTGTTCCAGTTCCCTAAATTAAGCCTGAATACAGTGGACCCACGGTTTTCGTAATTAATCCATTCCAGAGAGAGTGACTAAACCTGAATCTAACAATTTCCAAATTAATTTTCCCTATAATCCGTTCCAGACACCCGAAAGTATTAAAAAAATAAGTTTTTTACATGAAATATACATTTACCTACACAGAAAACAATAAGACATGCAGAATAAAACAATAATAAAATGACACTTACCTTTATTGAAGACTTGTTGATGAGTGATGAGATGGGAGGAGGGCAGAGAATGGAGGTGTACTATTGTTTGGAAGGGGAATCTCCCTCTATAATGACTTCAAGGACCAAGTCCTTTTCTGGGGTTACTTCCCTTCTATGTTTTTTAATGCCACTAGGAGGCCTGGTCACAGACCGGGCCGCGGGGGCGTTGACCCCCGGAACTCTCTCCAGGTCTCCAGGTAGGACCAGCTTGAGAGTCACTGGACCCCTGTTGCTCAAAAAAGTGTTCCAGAGAGGTCTGTATTTAGCATTTCTTTAAAACTTCCCTAAAATGGGACACAACATTGTCATTGTACATGTTGCCAACACAGCCTGCAACAGCTTTGTCAGGGTGAAGTTCATCCATAAATGTTTGCACCTCAGTCCACTTTGCACAGATGTCCTTAATCTTTGAAGAAGGCACCTTTGTCCATCTCTCTTCCTCCTCCTCTGAAGCAATTTCCTGAGCTGTGGTCTGTTGCTGTTGCAGATGAAGGTCTTGCAGCTCTGTAGTGGTCCTCCACAATTCCTTGAAACTCACATCCAACCCCATGGAATTCCCCAATGCCACAATACTTTCCACAGCTGGCATAGGCTCCTTAGGGTCACCCTCTTTACCAAAGGGCTGGCACTAGAAGCTTTCTTTGGGCCCATGGTGGCTTATATAGCAGTTACAAGAACTAAAAAGAATGGAATAATACAGAATGTATCGTATGAATGCGTGGGATCGTTCTCACTGGCTGATAAACAATGGCACACTGGCTGCAAATCATGTGTTGGGTCGCGAGGACACATTCGGGATGAATGACTATTACAGAGTTCAATGACGATCACCAAACCAATATTTTGATGACAAAACATTACTATTTTTTTAATATAACGAAATCTGACAACTACAAAATCCGGGGGTCCACTGTACCTTCCATCCCCTCCCCCCCCACAAGCGCTTCCCCATTTCAACAATAATGTAATAATAACACGTATAATAATATAACAATGTACATGTACTATAACAATAATTATAATAACAGACAGCTTCGAAAGGCCGTCACTAGATAGCAGTGAATACCACAACAACGCAGGAGCAGTTATGGCCGCCTCCACTTGTTACACAATGACATTTTTATTCATTCTAGAGTACATATCAGGTTTCTATGTTATTTATATTGCTTATTATGTCATATTAGATCACTTGTGATAGATAAATAAGCCATAGAGTTGATATTAGCAATATATTGAAGTGTATTTTTCCTGCCTCTCAGAGCAGGAATTCCACCAGAACGGATTACTGGTTTTTCAATTAATTTAAATGAGGAAAAATTGACTCGGCATACGAACAAATCAGGATACGAACAAGGTCACGGAATGGATTAAGTTCGTAAGCTGAGGTTCCACTGTACTTTCATACACTAACATGTATGAATTTCTTCCATTTAACCACTCTTCAGTGACTAAAGAAAAGTGCTTATATAATAAAGTACTACATATTGGTGTACAGAGGGTTGGAGTTGCATAATCTCATCTACAGTAGACCATCAATTAGCATGAGTTTATTTGGTACGATTTGGATATTGCACGATTGAAGAATTGCGACACAATTTTATGTAACACGTCGTAAAATTAATTTAACACGGTTCAGATTGGGGGAAGGAAAAAAAATTTCTCTTTTCCTCAAGCGGCCTCCTTGTTGTGGATCAACAGGTAAGACCTCCCGCCATCCCCTGCCACCCCCTGACACCATCCCACCATCCCAGCATTCATACTTCATACGCATCCAGTCTTTCTCTGCTACAAGCTAGCTCTGTTTGTGAATTGTGTTTTGATCTTTTAATTACTATATCTTATATCTGCCAAGCAATCATGACACCCAGTAGGCATACCAGTGTTGCTGAAAGTGGCAAGAAAAGGTACTATAAGCATTTAAGTCTTAGAATTATCAAAGGAAACAAAGATATTAGACAAGAGGTAGCCTGTGGAGTGTTACTTTGTACATATAAAAAGAGGTAAACATAAGTTCGTGTGACTGACTGACTTACTGAATGACTGACTTACTGAATAACTTACTGACTTGACTGAATAACTTACTGACTTGACTGAATAACTTACTGACTTGACTGACTTACTGAATGACTTGACTGACTCACAGAATGACTTGGCTGACTTACTAAATGACTTGACTTACAGACTGAATGACTTGACTTACTGACTAAATGACTTGACTAACTGACTTGACAGACTGAATGACTTGACTGATTTACTGAATGACATGACTGACTTACTGAATGACTTGACTTACTGAATGACTTGACTGAATGAATGACTTGACTTACTGACTGAATGACTTGACTGACTTACTGAATGATTTGTCTGACTGACTTACTGAATGACTTGACTGACTTACTGAATGACTTAACTGACTTATTGAATGACTTGACTGACTTACTGAATGACTTGACTTACTGACTTCACTGGCTGACTGAATGACTTGACTTACTGACTTCACTGACAAAATGACTTGACTGGCTGACTGAATGACTTGACTGACTGAATGAATGACTTAAAGTTAGACACTCCAGTACAACCATCGACTTCAGTACCAGGACCTCTACCATCCACCTCAGCCCAGTAGAGCCACAGCATAACTCTCCACTCTTCACAATCATCCACAAACACCAGCACCCACACTTTAAGGTAAATACTATTATTTTGGTTACATTTGTAGTCTTAAGCAGTAAAAACAACACAATACATCACAACACTGAACTACAATTACATATTCACTTTTATTTTTGTAAGAGGTAAAGGCCTAATTTTTTTTTTGGGGGGGGGGGGGGGGGCTCTCAGGAACGTAACCCTATTTTTTTCTGTAAGTTCTTCAGTTCATCAAACACGGTTTTACCTAGCACGGCATTTTCAGGAACGTAACTACTGTGTTAACCCTTTCAGGGTCAAGAGGCCCTCTCTTTACCATTTGACTGTTTCGGTCGTATATATATATGTCTTACAAGCCACTGTTTTTTATGTATATATACTCATAAATTCTAGTGGCTTCAAATCAAGCAGGAGAAAGCTGGTAGGCCCACATGTGAGAGAATGGGTCTGTGTGGTCAGTGTGCACCATATAAAAAAAATCCTGCAGCATGCAGTGCATAATGAAAAAAAAATACAACCTTTTTTTTTTAATTAAAATGCCGACTTTGTAGTCTATTTTTGTATAGTATTTATGGTTGTATTCTTGTTTTCGTGGTCTCATTTGATAGAATGGAAAACATATTATAGAAATAGATGTGATTTTGATTGGTTTTACTATGAAAAGAACCTTGAAATGGAGCTCAAAGTAGGGGAAATGTTTGAGTTTTGCCGATGTTCAAACATAAACAAATGATGTCATTTTCCAATAAATGTCCAACTAGCCATTCTAATATGCAATCATGAATGGGTTGACATTATTTATACAGTTACTACAATATTGCAGTAGTCTACATAACAGTACATCTTCTATTTTTTGTTTGAATAAAAATTCAAAATGGAAAGCAAGAGTAATATCAGAGGGGCCTGGAGACGTGACTGATGAACAAAGAAAATGTTATTTTAGAGCCAGGAATGTCTGCATTGTTCATACACAAATAACCCGCACATAGAAGAGAGGACCTTATTTTGAAACTCATATTTTTTAATTTTCGTGAAATTGGCCAAATTGCCAACTTCTGACCACATTATTGGGTAGTTGAAATTAGTAAATGGGCAGTTTCTTGTACTCAGTCGATAGAAAAAATGGAGTTCTAAAGAAATAGCTATGAGTTTGGTCGACTGGAACAATGGAATTAGCCGAAAATAGGGCTCAAAGTGGGCAAAATCGCCGATTCGTAAGTATCGCAAAGGTCGCTAACTTTGCAAGAGTGTAATTCCGTAAGTTTTCCATCAAATTTCGTTCTTTTGGTGTCATTACAATCGGGAAAAGATTCTCTATCATAACAAAAAAATAAATTGGGGGGGGGGATTTTGCGACACCAGGAGACCTCAGAATTTGGGGTTGCGACAGTCAAGGGGTTAAACTTGTTCTCAGAGTTGAAAATTTTTTGGAAAAAAAAATTATTTTTTCTTGTGAAATGATAAAGAATCTTTTCACGATCATAATGGCACCAAAAGCATGAAATTTGATGGAAAACTTACAGAATTATGCTCTTGCAAAGTTAGTGGTCTCGACTATGTTTATGCATTGGCGATTTCGCCCACTTTGAGCCCTATTTTCAGCCAATTCCAGTGTGCTAGTCGACAAAAATCATATCTATTTTGCGAGAACTCCATTTTTTCTATCAAATGAGTACAAGAAACCACTCATTTACCGATTTCAACTATCCAATAAAGTGGTCAGAAATTGGCAATTTTGCCAATTTCACACAAATTTCAGAAGATGCCAATTTCCAAATAGGGTCCAGAATAAACAAGACAGACATTCCTGGCACTAAAATAACATTTTCTCTGTTCATTAGTCACGTCCCCAGGCCCCTCTTACATCTCTTTTGCTTTCCACTTTGAATTTTTATTCTCACAAAAAATAGATTTACTGTTATGCAGACTACTGCATTAGTGTAGAAATGGTATAAATAATATCAGGGCACTTGTGAAAGAATATTAGACTCGCCAGTTGACATGTATTGGACGCTTGGCATGATTTGTTTACTTTTGAACTTTGATAAAAATCGAACATTTCTGCTACTTTGAGCTCAACTTCAAGGTACTTTTCATTATGAAACCAATCAAAATTATCTCAATTTCTGTAATATGTCTTCCATTCTATAAAATGAGACCAGGAAAACTAAAATACAACCATAAATACCATACGAAAATACACTGCAAAGTCGGTTTTTAAACCAAAAACACAGAGTTTTTTTATTCTCATTATGCACTGTGTGCTGCAGGATTTTTTTTATACTGTGCACACTGACCACATAGACCCATTCTTTCATATGTAGGCCTACCAGCTTTCTCTCACTAAATTTGAGGAGCTAGAATTTAGGCGTACTAGTACGCCAATAACCCTGGTGTGTAAGCTGTACTAGTACGTTGGAAACCCTGAAAGGGTTAAATGACGGTCTATTGTACTACAGAACTGAGATTTTTTTTTTTTTACCATACTCAGCTGGACGCCGTGCAGGTTCAGGAGAGCCACTGCTAATCAGTGAGGTGGTCCGTGGTTCACCAGCACATCGATCTGGTACCATGCAGCCAGGTGACAGACTCTTGGCTATTGATGACACTCGCTTAGAAAATCTTACCTTGGATGATGCTAAAACCATTCTTCAATGTTGTGATGAAATTGTCACACTAAGAGTGCAAAAAGATGAACTATATTCAGGTGAGATTTGTTTTAAAATCCATAATATACAGATATCCAGATACATTGGAGGGAGAGAGTATGGAGGTGAATATATTCAGATATTTAGGAGTGGACGTGTCAGCAGATGGGTCTATGAAGGATGAGGTGAATCATAAAACTGATGAGGGGAAAAGGGTGAGTGGTGCACTTAGGAATCTGTGAAGACAAAGAACTTTATCTGTGGAAGCAAAGAGGGGAATGTATGAGAGTGTAGTTATACCAACACTCTTATATGGGTGTGAAGCATGGGTGGTGAATGTTGCAATGAGGAGAAGGCTGAAGGCAATGGAGATGTCATGTCTGAGGGCAATGTATGGTGTGAATATAATGCAGAGAATTCATAGTTTGGAAATTAGGAGGAGGTGCAGGATTATCAAAACTATTATCTAGAGGGCTGAGGAGGGGTTGCTGAGGTAGTTCAGACATGTAGAGAGAATGGAACGAAACAGAATGACTTCGAGAGTGTATAAATCTGTAGTGGAGGGAAGGCGGGGTAGGGGTCGGCCAAGGAAAGAAAGGTTGGAGAGAGGGGGTAAAGGAGGTTTTGTGTGCGAAGGGCTTGGACTTCCAGCAAGCGTGCATGAGTGTATTTGATAGGAGTGAATGGAGACAAATGGTTTTTAATATTTGACGTGCTGTTGGAGTGTGAGCAAAGTAACATTTATGAAGGGATTCAGGGAAACCGGCAGGCCGGTCTTGAGTCCTGGAGATGGGAAGTACAGTGTCTGCACTCTGAAGGAAGGGTGTTACTGTTGTAGTTTTATAACTGTAGTGTAAAGCACCCCTCTGGCAAGACAGTGATGGAGTGAATGATGATGAAAGTTTTTCTTTTTCGGGCCACCCTGCCTTGGTGGGAATTGGCCGATGTGTTAGTAAATAATAAAAAAATAATATACAGAGCAGAACTGTTTGTAATTTCTTTCACAACAATATTAGATCTATTATGTAATGCATATATTATATCTACCATAGTATAGTGGTACAAAAACGTCTATATGGGTGTGAGGCATGGACTAAAGATCACAAGTATGAGGCCGGAAGCAGTGGAGATGCCATATATGACAGCAGTGTATGGTATAAATATTATGCATAGAATTTGAAGCATAGGAATTTGAAGACAGTGAGGTTATCATACATATAATTCAGATGGTTGAAGAAGAGGTTCTTGAAGTGGTTTCAACATTTAGATGGGCTGGAGCAGAACAGTGCCTAAGAGGGATTATAAATGTGGGGTGGAAGGAGGGTTAAGGGGTCATCTCAGGAAGGACTGATGGAGAGGTGTAAAAGGAAATGGTAAGCGGTAGGGGTTGAACACTCACTAGGCCTGTGTGAAAGCATCGATTCACTCGGAGTTCTGTTGGAGTACAAGCAATACAACATTTATAAAGGAATTCAGGGAAACGGTTTCTGGTGTGAATATTGCAGTACCGAAGATTATTTGAATTATGATGTTTGTACACTTCTGGCAAGACAGCCATTTATTAAGTGAAGGATATGTATTTCCTTTTTTGGTACATATCTCGGGGGGAGATAGTCACTGTGCAATAAGTAAATTGTCTGGTATGTTTTAAGTTATTCTTCATAAGCCATGTGTCGTAAGAGGCGATTAAAATACTGGGAGCAAGAGGCTAGTAACCCCTTCTCTTGTATAAATTACAAAATGTAAAAAGAAAGACATTACATACATTTCTTTTTGGGTCACCCTGCCTCGTTGTGTGACAGCCATTATGTTAATCAGAAAACAGTTATTCTATGCCATGCTTTGTGTTAGATTAGTTACAGTACTGATAATAAGAATTTGTTAATTTTTATAGAATTAATATATGGGACTATAAAGCAGTAATGAATTATTTTATTTTTCGAGCATGTTCATTTTGTGTACATGTTTTTTTAAATTATGAGTATAGTAATGAAAATAAATTACTGTATATTTAGTCATGTAACATTTCCTTATTTTATTTTAATATACATAATGTTGAAATATGATAAACTATAATTGTATTTATGATACAGAAGAGAGTGGTGGACTAGTGATTTACACAGTGGAACTGGTGCGTCATGGAGGGGCACTAGGAATTACGATTTCTGGTAGTGAGGAACCCTTCGATCCTATTTATATTGCGGGTCTTGCTCCAGGTATAGTGTTTTGTCATTACTTGAGCACCTGTTACAAAACTTTGTATTGATTAGTATTTCAACCATTTTTTAATAGTCTAGCAACTACTGGATACAGTTCACTATTACATTTTAAGCAACTCTTGAAAGAGTGAGAGTTAATATGAAATAAAATAATTTGTGCTTCTGTTTTTGTTTGAACATGGTGCAGATTTGCATAATCTTTGCCCTAAGTGTTTGTTATATTTACTGCAGTTCTTGACCACAAACAAGGATATGTATTTTATCCTATAATATCTATAAGCAATACATATTACTGCATTTTTAATTTTCTTTACTTCATTTATTGTTAGACCATAGTAGCTTTACTGGTGTCTGTCATATCATTCTTGACCAAATACAGCAAAATGGAAGCAAAAATGGTTCATGGTTCATAAGAAGTTAAGGGCTGTCATTTTTCTCAAAAATTTAAGTACATTACTGTAATGCAAAGTGAATTGAGGCAGTCTGTTTCTGGTGTGTTTTACGTTGATTCATTTTAGCCATTGCCAGAGTTCTAAGTTTATCTAAAATGAAAAATTAAGTTAATGAGTAGTAAAAATTTTTTGTATTGATGCTGACTTTGCTGTCTTCTTTTGAATGGAGAATATTAAGTGATATTTATTGCATAGGTCATAGTGATTCAGTTTATAACAAACTCCATTATATTAATGACTTGAGTTATTTAATGTAATGATATTAAATATACCTCAGGAAAGACACAAATTTCAGGAAAGAGCAAGAATATTAATGTAGTTAATATATTACCACTGTAAAATGTAAATGACATTCATTCTCATTTCATTCATACATACTAATTGAATGAAATAAATTATTGCATTCATGGAAGACCTAAACCCATGAAGGTTATACGGTGCTTTGGAGAATGGAAAGTTATGATGTTTGAACCAAAGAAGAGGAGCTAGCTCCAGTTCCTTAGATCAGGAGACCTTCATCAACATCAGGACCACTTTTGAAGGAATAAATAGACTAGATTATTTATATATTATCATCCATACCACTGACTGCTTTATTTTACAAACAGGTGGGCTAGCAGACCGAACTGGGGCCATTCATGTAGGTGATCGACTCCTGGCTATCAATGGTGCCTCCTTGAGAGGAAAGCCACTTAGTGAGGCCATCCTCATGCTTCAGAATTCTGGTGACACTGTCACTCTCAAGATTTCTCGTCCTAGAGACTCTGGTAAGCATGTGGTAATTTGTTTATGTAGACAATGTTTACATGTGAGTGATGGATAAATAAATGTTTGTCAGAATTTTGTTCATTTACAGATCTTTCAACTTTTTTCTTTCAACGTACCAGCCATATCCCACTGAGGTGGGGTGGTCCAAAAGGAAAAACAAAAGTTTCTCCTTTCAAATTTAGCAATATATACAGGAGAAGGGGTTACTAGCCCCTTGCTCCCGGCATTTTAGTCACCTCCTATGACACGCATGGCTTACGGAGGAAGAATTCTGTTCCACTTCCCCATGGAGATAAGAGGAAATAAACAAGAAAAGAACTAGAAAGAAAATAAAAGAAAACCCAGAGGGGTGTGTAGATATATCCTTGTACATGTATGTGTAGTGTGACCTAAGTGTAAGTAGAAGTAGCAAGATGTACCTGAAATCTTGCATGTTTAAGAGACAGAAAAAAGGAAACCAGCAATCCTATCATGTAAAACAATTACAGGCTTTCGTTTTACACTCACTTGGCAGGACGGTAGTACCTCCCTGGGCGGTTGCTGTCTACCAACCTACTACCTAATCATTTACAGATATTTTACATAATTTATATTGCCACACATAAACATGAAACTAAGAAATAAGTGTTATGGAATAAAATAGTAAATAAGCAAGAATGGGGAAATGAACAAGAGGACTTACAGTAGAAATGTTTACAACTTAGGGTAGAAATATTTACATATTTTTTTCATGAGCTTGCACAATCAGACCAGTGATTGCATTGAATAATGCTGAAAACCATCACAATATGAATGAATTTTTTAATGTATAAATGCTAATACTGTACTACAGTGGACCCCCGGTTCGCGATGCCATCGGTATCCGATAAATCCGGTATTCGATGCGTTTTAATGCAAAAATTTTGCCTCGGTTCCCGTTAAAAAATCCGGTATACGCGATTCGTCCAAGATGTGTCCACATGTGGCCTGAACTGCCCCGTGTGTGCCAGTGTTTACAAGCCAGCCAGTGTGCTCGCATCTAAGGATACATTTGGTACATTCCATATTATCAGTGTTTTTGGTGCTTGTTTCTGCAAAATAAGTCACTTTGGGCCCCAAGAAAGCTTCTAGTGCCAACCCTTCGAGAAGAAGGGTGCTAATGGCTATCGAAATGAAGAAAGAGATAATTGCAAAGTACGAAAGTGGAGTGCGTGTGTCGGAGCTGGCCAGGTTGTATACAAAACCTCAATCAACCATCTCTACTATAGTGACCAGGAAAATGGCAATCAAGGAAGCTGTTGTTGCAAAAGGTGCAACTGTGATTACGAAACAGCGACCGCAAGTGTTAGAAGATGTTGAGAGACTGTTATTGGTGTGGATAAATGAAAAACAGATAGCAGGAGATAGCATCTCTCAAGTGATCATTTGTGAAAAGGCCCTTCTGAGATCTTATTACGAGAGAAAACAGTGTTTGTGAGGCTAACTGCACTAGATCACTAGTTTCATAAGGAAAACACTGAAACAAAAGCGATTTTCTCTTTATTTTTTTTCCCCGAGTCAGGAGACCAGCCTACATTTTAGGTGAATATTTCGGAAGTAAATCAGCATAAATGCCTCGTGCTGTCTTGCAGAGAAGGCACAAAGTACATACTATGCTTGTACTGTCTTGCCAAGTCGGCTACATGCACACCTCACTCGTGTTTTTCTTTGATTTCATGCTTTAATTCAATAGACATCATTCTCTTCTTCTCAGCACTGTCCTTTACACTTACTTTCTTAGGACCCATGGTTAGAAAAAAGAAATTTGGCAAAATAACTGCACAGAATACATGCATAACACAAGAGAGATACTTCCACAGTGAGGTAACCATGTGCACTGTTGTGGCATTTTTTAGCCAACTAGTGGCGGCGTATCTGAAGCTCGCTTGTAACTCGGATTTTGGCTCGCAATTCAAAGCAAAAAATTGACTGAGTGATAGCTTGTAACTCTGAAAACTCGTAAGTTGGGGCACTCGCAAGTCAAGGTACCACTGTACTGCTGAAAATTTTGTGAATTAATAAAATATCAAGAAAAAATACATTTTTAATTCATGTTAAATTATTATCAATATTTAACTACCTATAGGTAGTAGGTTGGTAGACAGCAACCGCCCAGGGAGGTACTACCGTCCTGCCAAGTGAGTGTAAAATGGAAGCCTGTAATTGTTTTACATGATGGTTGGATTGCTGGTGTCTTTTTTTTCTGTCTCGTACACATGCGAGATTTCAGGTAAGAACATAAGAAAGAAGGAACACTGCAACAGGCCTACTGACCCATGCGAAGCAGGTACATTACCCCCCCCCCCCCCCCCCCCCCGGATTAGCCCAATGACTCCTCCCCCCCTGGATTAGCCCAGTGACCCATCCAGTCTGGTCACCTCCACTCAAGGAAGGAGCATGGCACCAGACCCAGCAGCACAAGCTAGTCAGGTCCAACTCACACCCACCCAAACCCACCCATGTATTTATCTATTTTTAAAACTACACAGCATTTTAGCCTAAATAACTGTACTCAGGAGTTTGTTCCACTCATCCACAACTCTATTACCAAACCAGTGCTTTCCTATATCCTTCCTGAATCTGAATTTTTCTAACTTGAAACCATTGCTGCGAGTCCTGTCTTGGCTGGAAATTTTCAGCACACTATTTACATCCCCTTAATTTATTCCTGTTTTCCATTTCTACACCTCAATCATATCCCCCCTAAATCTACGCCTTTCGAGAGAGTGCAGATTCAGGGCCCTCAGTCTATCCTCTTAGGGAAGATTTCTGATACATGGGATCATCTTTGTCATCCTCCTCTGTACATTTTCCAGAGCATTTAGTATATCCATTCTGTAATACGGTGACCAGAACTGAGCAGCATAGTCTAAATGAGGCCTAACCAAGGATATATAGAGTTGAAGAGCAGCCTGAGGACTTCTATTATTTATACTTCTAGATATGAAGCCAAGAATTCTGTTAGTTTTATTGCGAACACTAATGCACTGTTGTCTTGGTTTTAGATTACTGCTAACCAGAACTCCTAAATCCTTTTCGCAAGCAGTAGTATTAAGATCTATATTATTTAGTTTGTATGTGGCATGGATATTTACCTGTCCAACATTTAGAACTTTGCATTTGTCAATATTAAACTGCATCTGCCACTTCTCTGACCATTGCATCAGTCTATTCAAGTCATCCTGGAGTGCTCTAGTGTCCTCATTAGAATGAATTGGATGGTCTATTTTGGTGTCATCAGCAAATTTGCTTATGTCGCTATTTATTCCCTTATCTATATCGTTTATGTAAATTGTGAACAACAACGGGCCCAACACTGACCCCTGAGGAACACCGCTTGTAACGTGCCCCCATTCTGATTTCTCCCCATTTATGCAAACTATCTGCTGCCTATTTGTCAGCCATGCCTCTACCCAGGAAAAAATCTCTCCTCCTATTCCGTGTACCTTAAGTTTCTGCAATAGCCTCTGGTGTGGAACTTTATCGAAAGCCTTACTGACGTCCATATACACAATATCATATTCATTACCATGATCTACCTCCTCAAATACCTTAGTGAAAAAAGTTAGTAAATTCGTAAGACAGGAACGCCCCTTTGTAAAACCGTGTTGAGATTCATTAATCAGTCTGTGCCTATCAAGATGGCTACTAATTGTTTTGGCAATTATTGATTCCATATGTTTTCCCACTATGGAGGTAAGGCTTATTGGTCTATAGTTCAAAGCCAAGGACCTGTCACCTGCCTTGTAAATAGGTATTGCATTTGCCATTTTCCACTTATCAGGCACTATGCCAGTTTGTAGTGATATGTTAAAAAGATTAGCCAAAGGTATGCTAAGTTCCTCTTTACATTCCTTTAACACCCTTGCAAACAGTTCATCAGGGCCTGGGGATTTGTTAGGGTTTAGTTTCTCTATTTGTCTGAGGACCATGTCACTAGTTACCGCAATCGTGCATAGTTTATCGTCCTGTTCTACATAATCTATTATTTCAGGAATATCGCTAGTATTTTCCTGGGTGAAAACTGAGAGGAAGTAGGTATTGAGAATTTCACACACATCCTTATCACTGTCAGTGATCTGACCAGAGTTACTCTTAAGTGGGCCAATCTTGTCCCTAATTTTACTTCTGTATACCTGAAAGAACCCTTTTGGGTTAGTCTTTGAATCCCTTGTGACCTTAGCCTCATAATCCCTTTTTGCTTTTCTTATTCCTTTCTTTATTTCTCTCTTTAATTGAATATATTGATTTCTTAACTGCCCATCCTCTCTTTTGATACACCTATATATGCCTCTCTTTTGACCAGTGAGATGTTTTAATCTATTGTTCATCCATTTGGGATCATTTTTGTTAGATCTAATTTCCCTACTCAGAACAAAAGTTGTCTGGGCAGCTAGAACTATGCTCTGAAAAACGTCATATTGGCAACCAAAATCACCTACCTGACCCATAGTCAGGACATCCCAATTTAGCCCACCCAGGTAATTTTTCAGTCCCATGAAGTCAGCTAAGCGAAAATCTGGGACAGAGATTTGATTGCAGTTATCTGGGTAATTCCATGATATATTGAAACTAAGTGATTTGTGATCACTTTCCTCAAGCTCATAATTAACCTCAAGATTATTAATTAGTGAATCTTTGTTGGCAAGAACCAAGTCAAGCAGATTGTTTCCTCTAGTTGGTTCTGTCACAACCTGTTCTAAAAAGCAATCCTGAACCGTATCAAGAAAGTCACTAGACTCAAGTTAAAATCTCCCATTATCACAACGTTTTCATATCTAGATGCCTTATGAATTTCGTCCCATAACAGCTTACTGCACTCCCTATCAAGGTTTGGGGGCCTATAAATCACACCCAGAATTAATTTGTCACGTCCCTCGAGAAACTGTAGCCACACAGATTCTGTGTTCGATGTTTCTAATCTTATATCATGTCTAAGACAACAATTTAAATTTTCTCTGACATACATTGCCACTCCACCACCCTTCCTGTTGACCCTATCAGTGTGGAATAGTTTATAACCCTGTATGTTGCATTCAGAAGGCATTTCTCTATCTTTCAGGTTGAACCAGGTCTCTGTTATACCAATAATATCTATATTACCTACTCTTGCTACTTCTCCTTACACTTAGGTCACACTACACATACATACATGTACAAGCATATATATACACACCCCTCTGGGTTTTCTTCTACTTTCTAGTTCTGTTTTTGTTTATCTCCTCTTACCTCCATGGGGAAGTGGAACAGAATTCTTCCTCCGTAAGCCATGCTTGTTGTAAGAGGCAACTAAAATGCCAGGGGCAAGGGGCTAGTAACCCCTTCTCTTATATAAATTACTAAATTTAAAAAGAGAAACTTAAGTTTTTCTTTTTGGGCCACCCTGCCTTGGTGGGATACGGCCAGTTTGTTGAAAAAAAAAGGAGAAACTTTCATTTTTCCTTTTGGGCCACCCCGCCTTGGTGGGATACAGCCAGTGTGTCGAAAGAAAGAACTGCACAGAATACATGCATAACACAAGAGAGATACTTCCACAGCGAGGTAACCATGTGCACTGTTGTGGTATTTTTTGAGCCAACTAGTGGTGGCATATATGAAGCTCGCTTGTATCTCGGATTTTGGCTCGCAATTCAAAGCAAAAAAATGACCGCGTGACGGCTTGTAACTCAGAAAACTCGTAAGTCAAGGTACCACTGTACCGCTGAAAATTTTGTGAATTAATAAAATATCAAGAAAAAATACATTTTTAATTAATGTTAAATTATGATCAATATTTAACCACCTATAGGTATTATGTTGGTAGACAGCAGACACCCAGGGAAGTACTACTGTCCTGCCAGATAAGTGTGAAACAGAAATTACTAACTGTAAAAAGAAAAAGAAAAGCTTTATAAAATGTTTCTTCTCAGTCACCCTACCTTAGTGGGAGATGGCCAGTGTGTTAAAAAAATAACTACCTAATTTTTAAATAATAATGAAGTTACAAATTAAATATCTGCAGTTGTGGCTTTATGTGGAACTCTAACTTGCTGTACTCTTCATCTGCCTGCCCTGCCCTTCATTCTCACCTTTGCTGATATAATAATCTCATGACAGTAGTTAGTTCAAAATCACACAAGGAAGCAGTACACACTTGACATGTCTTCCCCAGTGTAGGCCACCCTAGCTGCTCTCACCCACCCAGTCATATTCCCTGCTGGTAATTAATATTATAATCATAATTAGCAAAATAAGTGGGAACAACCTAGGTAGTAGGTTGGTAGACAGCAACTGCCAAGGGAGGTACTACCTTCCTGCCAAGTGAGTGTAAAACGAAAGCCTGTAATTGTTTTACATGATGGTAGGATTGCTGGTGTCTTTTTATTCTGTCTCATACACATACAAGATTTCAGGTATGTCTTGCTACTTCTACTTACACTTAGGTCACACTACACATACATGTACAAACATATATATATATATATACACACCTCTCTGGGCTTTCTTCTATTTTCTTTCTAGTACTTCTTTATTTCCTCTTACCTCCATGGGGAAGTGGAACAGAATTCTTCCTCCGTAAGCCATGCGTGTTGTAAGAGGCGACTAAAATGCCGGGAGCAAGGGGCTAGCAACCTCTTCTCCTTTATATATTACTGAATGTAAAAGGAGAAACTTTCGTTTTTCCTTTTGGGCCACCCCGCCTCAGTGGGATACGGCCGGTGTGTTGAAAGAAAGAAGTGGGAACAAGTATATCAGACATTGCTGGATATTAAAATATACATTATGTTAAGTTTTACTGTCTTAAGGCAATTTCATATTACCAATTAACAGCTTTTTGTTCAGAAATTTCTTTTTGTTGATCGTACTTCTTATAATCAGGAGTACCTAGTGAGGAACTGGCCAGAGATGATTGGTTGGGACGATTTGGCCCAGCAATTCCATCTGTGGATTCGGCTGTGGAGTCATGGGACAGCTCAGGAATGGACCCTCCACCTCCAGGCTCTACTCCAGCACTGTCGAAGAGAGATTCTGGTTCGGATATTGTCTTTAGATCAGGTATGTATTGTGAGAAAAAGCATATTTATTTAAATTAATACAATAATCAATAACTGGATGCATCAGTAGCTGCTGTATACCAGGAATGACATGATGATTACATCAACATCTTCACAATTAAAATTAAATATAGTACTCTGAATACACCAGTGACAGTTGGCTTCTTTGGTTGACAGCTTAAGGAGTAAGGAGATATGTGGTGGAAGTGGATACTGCAGTACTGAATGTCAAGGGAGGAAAAGTTAACTGAGTCGTATATTAAGTACATATTTGATTTATACTCACAGATTGTGGCAGTACTGTAAGACGGAGAGGGGGACTGGAGTGTAGAGAAGAGAATAATGGTGCTGGAGACACTGATGATGTTGATGCCAACAGAAAAGTTCCTGAAGAGGACACAAGGGATACCTGGGGGTCTCCCTCCCCACCACCATCTGTAGACAGTGGTCAGTCAGGTTAGTTAGCTCAACAATATACACTTGATATATCAAGTTTTTGATTGTAAGTTTTTAAGTCTGTTAGTCTTATCTTGTGAGGAGGATTATGTTTTGTGTGAATCTTATTTATACGACTGAAATAGCTGAAAGTGGAGCCTGTTTTAGTAACAATATAAGCCTAAATAAACTTAACTTTGCTTTACATTAATTTT